TACAGCAATGTTTAATAAGCTAATCTCATTGTTTAATGCTGCCATTTCGGTCCTCACTCGGTGTCCAAAATATACATTCAGTAAAGCTAATCTGCATCAAAGTCATTCGAGTGACTACCGTAGAATAATGTTTAACAAGCAGATTATACAAATCATTACTAATATGATTTCAATCCTTATCGCGCTTCCATATTACAGTGGTCAAACGCTAGGCCAAGCGAAACTTCGTAAATACTAGCAGAGGTACCTGACTTTGGCCGGGTTTCAAAATATCAATAATGAATACAATTACAAGTTCACTATACTTTCTATCAGTTGCTTTAAAAAACAATTAATATATTTTTTTTGCCTTTATAAATTACTACAATTTATTTCAACACGTAACGCGTATTGAAATCCTCACAGTATTTAGTATTGTTAAAGTAATCGCTAACATACTTTGTCGAGATTTATAAACTCTACGTTTCGTTCAATTTCTCAAACCAACCGATGAAATTTGAATAAGCTGATTTGATTGGAAAAATACTTTGACAAAAACCCTACTTTGAGGTTTAATTTCTTTAATTTAATTTTATAGGACTACATGGGAAACAATATATTTTAAGAAATTTTTTTTTTCCTTTTTCCTTTTGAACAGCATAAATAAATTCTTAGGATTTCTTACTCTTGAGCATGCAACATACAACTAACCATGCTTAAATATTTCTTTCTGAAGTCATAATCCAAATTTTTGAAGAGTTTGGCATTGTGATTTGTTTATAGTTCTAGCAAACGCAGGGCGAACTGGAAACTGGATTCTTGTATATAAAAACTTAAAGAAAAGATATGCAAAAAGCAATATTGCATTTTTGTTAAATAAGTATCTGTTATTTTAATCATTAAATTGTTTTTAAAATAGTGAGAGTATTTTCTATGTTAAATAATAAAACTTTCAATTTTCGAAAAAAATAAAGAAAATTTATTGTACTAAGCTACGCACACTATTAAAACCAACTGTACTCTGAACCCTCTTACCTGTTTGCACAAAATTTGGTTTCGATCGGTTAATGTATGGCTATTTTAGAGGGAATCCCATATAGAAGAGGAAGGTGTGATTTTATCTCGATTTCAAATGTTTCCTGTTTTATGGCCGGCGTGTGGGGTCTTTGAAGTCGGGTCTTCTAATTAGCACCTACTTGACCGAAGGGAGGCAAAAGAACAAATAAATAAATAAGAGATTTTGAAGGCAAGTGACAAGAAATCGGACAGTAAGGATCTCCGCCCGCTGCTCTATATTAATACCCACAGATGGTGTTACAGAAACTAGTACAGGTCGGCCCTTGGTGGGAGACAGGCCGTTCATGCTGACAGCTACACGTTGAGATGGAAAGAAAGTTGATAGGAGGAAAGAGCTGATCTTTGAGTCCGAGATAGCAGAACTTGTACCATGTGTTACCTATCTGACCATACAGAATGACCTAGCGAAACTCTGGATAAATTATCTAAATATATCGGAAACAGAGTTGGAGTCCTCATTTCTCGACGTGTCGTTTGTTTTTATGGTCCATTAACTTGTGAACATATAAGCAACGAGGACACTAACAAAGGTGCAAAATTGTGCTGAACAACTCTCAGAAAGCAATCAGAATCAGTTGATTTGGTTGATTTTATTTAGCGTCATATCAACTTCTATGGGTTTTTTAATGCCGAAATCTAAATATATTTGAACACTATCTTATAACTTCAACTACAGATAAATAGGTATCTGTCTATATTTCTGAGATGAGGTATTATGTACATTATTTACATTATTCGGACTATTGTCCTCATCTTTGTCGCCATATTTATTACAACGTTTCGGCCGTTGTACGCTCCGGCCTTCTGCAGGTGGTTGGAACGTCAAACTGAACCCTTTATTTCGCTCACTGGGGTAGACCGTTCTAGTTCCATGTGCTATGTCTAATGGATGTCAGTTATCTCCTGTTAATGTCCGTTCTACACCGCCTTAACCATGTTCAATACCCAGTTAAGGCAGTGGGGAACTTTTAGAGGGAAATTAACAGGAGATAACTGATAACGGACATCCATTAAATCAGAATCAGTTGATTTGGTTGATTTTGGTTGATAAATGGCGACAAAGATGAGGACAATAGTCCGAATAATGTAAATAATGTAGAAAAATAGGTATTTTTGATAATTCTTTTATAAATTGATAGTGTTGGTAATTTTTTTTTTATAAATATGTGTTGCTGGTATTTTTCTATAAAAATGTATTTTTATACTTTCATAGTCTTAGTTTTGTTTGTGAATTCACTATTTACCAATAGTTGGGACCCTAACAGGTGCTACCACCCCAGTGAGTTTGGACTTGGTAACAACAGCAGTTAAGAGGTGATTCCACGCTCCTCAAAACCTCCAATCTCCCGATCAGTAGATGTAGTTTACCGTCATACCCAGGACTATCAGAATCAGTAAACGAATTGGACAAAAGCACTGAACAAGGTCGTAATAAAATATTATGTAAAGAACGGGCCCGAGGAGGGAGAATATGAAGAATGCTGAATATTTGGGAAGCAATTTTTCAGATTAAAAAAATTAGCAATCAAGTAAGGTCGATGGAACAGAATTTTCGTCTATTGCGTATTTGCATCTTCAGGTGAGAGGTCGTAGTTTCGTTTATTTAAAAAAAATGTTAACGAAATATATTAAATATATTTTTCCTGTATTTGGCAACATTTTATTGCTGTTGGGTTGTTTGATGTTTTATACGTAATTCTGCTAGTATTTGTTGTCTATTATAACTTATGTGAGATCGTATTTTGGCGTTATTGGTGGGGATTTACCGGAAATTTGGTTATGAAAGCTGAAAGTACCCCGAAATGGGAAAAATTATATTTAGATATGTACCGGAAACGAGGAAAATGGTTAAAAATATAAAGGAAAATGGTTAAAAAAATCCTTAACATGGAGCTTTCGTTGGCTTTTAATATCGTGCAGACGGGCGCATGGGCGCACGCGCGCGAACGAACACACACTATGAAAAACACTTGCACCAATGATAAGTACATATAAAAAAGAAAAATCGGGAAGTATAAGCAATCAATTGCTGATACCACTGACAAGTGGATGGACGGGTCTGTCTACGAAACTCTGGAGTCGGGATGCTGAAGTTAACATCAATCAGCTAAGTGGCAAGCCTTTTACTTATATTAATTTTCTCTTTCTCTCTCTCTATCTTTATATATGTATGGAGGTCTAGACATGGAACAAGACGAGTTGGTCGTCCACACATTGACCAGCTGTGCTATGACAGAAAATGCCGGCCCAATGACCTTCCGTCCTTGATACAGGGCCGTGCTGGTTGGCATGATAGACTTATGCATATCTGAATAAATGACCGAATATCTATCTATCTATCTATCTATCTATCTATCTATATATATATATATATATATATATATATATATATATATATATATATATATATATGTATATGTAAATAAAAAAAAAAACAGTAAGATATACAATCCGGTGTTCTTACCAAAACGTAACTAATAACTGATACATCAAAATACAGACATAATGAACACGCAGATAGCCTTTGTCTAGTGGAAGTGGATTTATCTGTAACATTGGAAACGTGAATTGTGAATTATGATTTTAGCTGTGTCTTTAAAACCCGGTAATTTTAAAAGTTACTCCAAAATTCGCTTGAGGATGAAATGGAACTAATGTCTTTAATTTAATTACAAAATTAAATTCGGGGCTTTTAGCTTCCATTTTTGAAACATGGTTAGAACTGTGTAGCGAAAAAAAAACATATTCTAAATCAATTAATTTATAATATATATATATATAGATAGATAGATAGATAGATAGATAGATAGATAGATAGATAGAAATATCTATCTATATAGAAATATCTATCTATATCTATCTATCTATATGGTCAGCTGGTCATTGTGTGGGCGACCAACTCCTCTTGCTCCATGTCTAGGCCTCCAGAACAGTCGATCACTGTTCTTGTTTTTGCTCGCCAGTAGCATCCTGCAAAGCATTCTGCATTTGCGTAAGATTGTAGAAATATCAGGAATTGTTCCACAGAGCTGTCTAGTTGGATGTTGTCTCCAGGAGATGTTAAGTATAACTTTCAACATCCGAGTATAGGTTCCATTAAACTTAGACACTAGGGTTTTAGTTAATGTCCGGGCAGTGGCACCCCACATTAACACCGCATCTCCGGTGGCTCAAAAGTATCTCCGCTTGAGGTTATCGAGTAGATCAGATTTCCAGATTACATCCATTTTATTCAAGTTGGCCCAGGCTTTAGCTATGTGAATTTTATATATATATATATACACTACAGTTTATATATATACACTATAGTTCAAAGGATTGAACTGGTAATTTTTTAAAATTGCTCCCAAAAGTAGTTGTTTTGTACTCTAAATAAGAGAAAATTATTATACATGGTTTAAAAAATAAAACATGATTTTTTATTATGAAATTTTATTATGACAAAAAGAAAAAAATATGCATTTTATGATTAAATTTTGCTCACATCAACATCCTCCTTTAGCCTTGATTACTGCAGCACAAATCTTTAGCATTCATTGCAAAAGTTTCTCAAAGTATAAGCTTGAAAATTGATTCAATTCTTTTTTCAATGACTCTAAGTTTTTGTTTTTTTTTTTTCATTTTTCTGTCAAGTTCACCCCATTTGAATTCTGGGGTACATTCAAACGTTTTGTTCCATTCTTTCGGCTTTGTGCTACATCTAAGCTACGCTTAGTAAATCGCTATAAAGTAACTTTTTTGTATATTTTTATTACTACCTCACGACCCAGTCTTTTGGTCCCATTTTTCCCAGCATTCTCTCTGCCCCAATATCCATTCCCATCACTTCCACCATACCCGTCGAGTCGACTCGACTTGACTCGACCAGGAGAGTTTCGTACTTATTTTATCAGAAAATATTCTCCTGCTGGGAAACACATGTCGTTCTTTTCCCCACGACAAGAATGTCTCGCACGTCATCCTTCTACCCCGAGATTTGCTACACTCTCACTTATTTGTCATTCTCTCTCTCTCTTTTTCTCTCTAACACACACACACACGCATTTCTTTATTATGCTCTTCGACGTTTCTATTTTTTCTATATATCTCCATTTCTAAATACTCTCGCTTTATCTAATTTTCTTTTGCCTTCTTTCTTTCTTTCTTTCTTTCTTTCTTTCTTTCTTTCTTTCTACTTCTCGCCAGTGAAATACGGAGGGAATGAGGGTGGTTTGTTACCATGTGAGTGACATGGTAGGTCCTAGTCGAGAAGGTTCTAACTGGCGGAACCAGTGAATGCATATCGACCGAGCACTTTCCATGGAAATAGCGATAGAGCAGTAAAAGGCTTGCCACATCCCGTCTGCGAGAGAGGGGTTGCAGGGTGGCAAATAATTTGTCACCCACAAGGACGCGGAGACGCTTTTGAACTCTATCGAGACTAGAAAGTGAGGACTGGGCAGCTCCTACCAAATATGACAGCAGTACTCCATTTTAGGCCTGATGTCTCACTTTCTCTTCTTTGTTTGTTTCTAATCTAGTCCTCCCTTTAGTCTTTCATTCGGTCTCTCCATCTCATCTCTCATACCCCCCTCAATTATCTCTGTCTATTTTGCCTTCTTCAACCTTTTGTTATTGTTTTGTTTGTTTAATCAAAGCAAATTTCCTAAGCATCTATTTTCCCACCAATCTAGCCTATTCTCTGGAATTCGACACTCTTGTATCACGCGCTGGAGCGAGGGTGGAGAAATGGATAGCGGCTCGGATTGAGGAATCGGAGAGCCGAGTTCGAAATCCAGTCGAATCCGTTACATTCACTTACGTGTTAATACCCTTGGAAAAGGTATGAATCCACTTCTCCCCCAACCATCTATGGGTAAATAGCAGGACAGACCGAGTCCTATAGCCTTGGATGGCAACTGGTCCACCGTAGTAACTTACAGCGGGAAAAAATCTGCCTCGTCGTTCATGTATCAAAAGATACAAGATCGCCTAAGCGTGTGTCACGCATGGCACATAACTGACTGATCACTCGCTTGCTACGACTATTTCCCAATCTATCTATCTATCTCTCATTCCTGATTCTTCCTAATCACTAAATGCTCCCATTCACCATATAAAATCTCCCTCTTTTTCTTTCTCTCTCTCTCACTTTCTTTGCCCATCTCAGTTCTGTTTGTCCCTGTCTCTCTTTATATTTTGTTTCTCTCGCCACCCTTTTACTAATTTTCTCTCTCTTCCCCTTTTCTTCCACTCTATCTCTCTCTTTCACACACACGCACACTTTCTCTAAGTATACCTTTCAACCACCTATTTTATTTTAGATATACCTTGCTCTCTCTAGATTATAGTCTTTTCTCTACCCCTCTCTATTTTTCTTTGTCAGTTATAAGATATTCACATCGACTACGAAGTGAGCCATACCCACTGCAATAAAAATCCCCAACAAAAGTCATGTGAGCACAATGCCAAAAGGGGTAGGTGTTAGGGGAAGATAATTTCCTCTCCCTACAAAGGACGATAATTCAAAATACAATCGAGTTACTTCCCTTGTCTGTGAAGACGAGCCCGCCACTTCTGAATTGAACATGGCAACAAGCTGACGCGCACGTAGAATTCATTGTTTCAATCCATGTAATCCTTACTGTTCTCAGAGAGTGAATGAATAAAGGTTATTTATCTGTGCGTTCAAATACACTAGTTTTTAATTTCATTCGTTTTTGTTCATCCCGACGTACTGGGATATCACACACGCACGCACGCACGCACGCACACACACACACACACACACACACACACACACACACAGTGGTAGAATCTCCGATTGACACCAATTCAGTTGGGTTTCGATCCTAGCTAGTGGCAACCGGATGTCTAGCGACACTGAAGAGCTGCGAAACATTTTGTCTGTGGATGACTTTATATATATATATATATATATATATATATATATATATATATATATATATATATAAAGATTCTATCAACAAAATTTGAAAATAAATTATTTACCGGCAAAAAAAAATAAAATCGGAGATATAATAAGAAAGAAAAATAGATCCAACACTACATCAGTTTCTGTGATTTATGATAAATCCGTGCAATGTAGGAAAAGTTACATTACTGAAACATCTAGGAATCTAAACGCCCGCATCCACCAACATAAGAGAGACCTACGTTGAGGTAATTCATTAATCTCGCTCGTAATACACAGAAACAAAACAGGCCATAACTTCAATTTTATAAATGCCACACTAATTAGAAAAGAATGTAATTCTTTCTTTACGTAGGAAATACTTCGAGGAAGTTCTGATAAATATTTTATCTTCTATAAACATACGTCAAATACACTTTATTATATCAGCAAATTTTATAAACTCCACACTTAAAGAGTAAGATACGTTTACCTGCTACTACAACCAGTGTAACTTTAATTCTTTCTCGCTCACCTAATCAACATGCGGACAACTACCAAACATGGATAAAAATGTCTACTAGACGCACAGACACACACCACACACACAACCGAATGTACATTATAATGCTGCATAGACAAATTAGAATTATAATGCATATACACAAATGAATTATACACATGAACGCTGCTTCACAAGACTGATGTATATGAAGTCTTCTTAGCCAATGAAAAACAAACACAAAAATTTGAAATATCAGAATTTTCTTTTTGTCTTCAATATTTCATTTACTGATTACGTTTTAATAAACGCGAAACATGTTAGATTTATAAACGTTTCCTATCTGTTCCTTATCCTACCATTCTATCAGATTCTCAGTCATGTTTTATCTATATTTGTTCCCAATTCACACGCGCACACGCACACGCACGCACACACACACACATATATATGTATATAATATTTTTTTATATAAAATGTAATTGTAGTTACATCAAACCAACTATTCTTTTACATATATTCCTATCCAAAATTCAAATCCAAATGTTATTTTAGTGGATACCCTTATTTGACTAGACGTTCCGCTTTTCTTTTTCTTTTTTTTTTAATTATTTCGTCAACCGGCCTGCGTATTCGAAAAAGCTTAAAGAAAATGTGGTCTCTGGTAGGATTCGAACCCGCGTCACCCTTTGCAGGAGAAATCACCGTCTGATCTGTTGTGTTTTTACCGCTCGACTCCGAAGAGATTCACAGTCAAGCAAAGTACTTATTTGCCTTCAACGCACATTTATTCGTTCAGATTTCCTCGAAAGACATATCTGCTCAGTTTTATATCCGAAACGTAAATAAAGCAATTTCTAAAGAATTAATGGATTTTATTTTTTAATCCAGCATATTTTTTTAACTTAATTTTAATATTATAATTGAGTTACACAATTACAATTAGGGAATTGTAACTAATATAATATGTGAGGTAAAAGTCCACATATTGTATACTACGTAGAGTTTAAATAACCATAAAAGGGAACATAAAAATATATATATATATATATATATATATATATATATATATATATATATATATATGTATATATATATATATGACGATCACTATGGTAACACTTACGCACAGAATGAAACATGCTGAAGTGTTTAATATAAACACACACACAAACACACATATATATATGTGTGTGTATATATATATATATATATATATATATATATATATATATATATATATATATATATATATATATATATATATATATATAGAGAGAGAGAGAGAGAGAGTAATACACTAAGCCTCCAACAGGCGACACTCAACTACTTTTTCCATATTTGTCAAGCCTCGTTTGATATAAAAGTCTGTAGAATTAGGCCCGGATTAGCTAGACATGTGAAATCTTACAATATCAATTTACAATCCAATAAGCAATCAAAACAAAATTTTTTCTGCTATATTTGCGATAAATGGTGTAAATGCGCTGCAGCGCCTTCAGGGCCATTGTAGTTCTCACAAATTATAGGTCACTTGCACATATTTCACTGCTATTATTTATCTTACTAAATTTTAATCTATATATAATATAATAATTTATATTCATTTTAATTTTTTTTAGCATAATATTTAACTTTCTATGTAGTAATTTATTTTAAATCTAATTTTAATCAAATAATATGTACGATTTAGTCTATTAGTGTAACAGTATAAATTGTCGATGCATTCTTTGTCTTAACTGTCTTACATGTTAATGTGTTAAAAACAGTCGTACTCGATTAACGAGTCGACAGTCATTATCTATCTATCTATCTATATATATATATATATATATATATATATATATATACACACGCCCCCGGAAAATTTAATCCCGGTCGAGCACTCTGGAGAGAAAGTGCGAATTTGTAAACAATGACTCGTTTTGTTAATACTGTAAAGCTCTTCCATGAATTGAGCCCTCTCGGTCATTGGTGTGTTTATTTGAAGAACAAGTACGTAAAAATCTGCCTTCCTCTCTAACGGTCGCTGATAGTTCAGGGGTAAAATCTCCAACTGATGCCAAATCAGTCGGGTTTCGATCCGTGCAATCAGATGTCTAACCACACTGTTGAGCTGAGACAGCGAAACAGTCTATCCGTGGATTGCTATATATATATAAGAATTAATATGAAAAGGTTTTTCACTTAGGTTTACTTCCAAGTTTCGTGCTTAGCTGTAAACACGTTCTAACGAGTGCTTACAATTAAGCTCGAAACTTAACATGAGTTAAGTAAAAAAAAAAAAAAAAAAAACTTTTCATATTAATTCTTCTACTAATTCTCTGTTGGGCATTCTACCCCAAATGTACCATTGCATGTTGCATAACGAGGTCCAAAAAGGCACGGTGGAGTAATGGATAGCGACTCGGATTGAGGAATCGAAGAGCCGAGTTCGAACTCCAGTCGATTCCATTACATTCACTTACGTGCTAATACCCTTAGGAATAGGTATGAATACTCTTCTTCTCCACTCCCACCAGCTATATGTAAATAGCAGGATCGAGTTCTATAGCCTTGAATGGCAACTGGTCTATTGCACATAGAAATGGCAACCTATTGCAGGAAAAGTCAGTCATGTATTGAAAGATATATGATCGTTTAAGCGTGCATGGAACATAACTGACACACGCCAATACGTGCTTTGCTCCAGGACAGAAAGAAGGTTAGAGAGGGTGAAGATCATCTTGAATAAGTTGGAAAATGATCCTGGAATAATATATATATATATATATATATATATATATATATATATATATATATATTGAATTTTAGTTTCAATTCTTCATGAGCTTCTGATCCTTACCTATGATTAATTAATGATGAACATGTCATTTTCGTTTATGATCGATTTGATCACCATTCTACTGATAAGCGTGGAGAGCAATTATACATTCTTATTGCTCAGAGTAGAGTTCAATAGTATTATAAAAACCTCGGAGAATTCCAGTAAGATATCATTAATCATTTCTAATATACAACGGTTCAAAAACTTAATTTAACAAATGGCCAATTTGCTTTTACACGATTTCGACAATTTTGTGTTACTTTATATATATATATATATATATATATATATATATATATATATATATATATATATATATATATATGATAAAAAAATAAAGTGTTAAGGTATGCTATATTTAAAGTGCTCAGAATCAGGATAGAGCTCTGTAAATATAAAAGTGGATATTAACATCAACATCCAGCGGCGATCGTCTGTTTCATGTTAAATGCAATCTCCAGGCCATGAAGATAGCGTTTAAGCATGAAATTGATTGTTTCCGCTAGATATTGACATTAATGTCCACTTATATATATATATATATATATATATATATATATATATATATTAACACACTTTATATTCATATAGATATAATTTTGTGTGTAGGATCTGACACATGTCCACTTTCACGTGTATATATCGACCAAGGACATTAAAAAAACTGCCTAGTACGCAACACTGTCACGTAGGTAAAAGAGTATTCTGACCCTCTCTGGAATATTGGGTTCTTGCTGCAGTACTGATTGGAATCCCGGGTCAGTATTCTTTCATAGTTGAATGGCGAAATGCCTGAAGACTCGAACACGGTCCTGCGTTTTGCACTGTACTAAGGACACAAGATAGTGGAATTCAAAACTGATTTAGAACTTATGTCCAAAAATATATGTAGACAAACAACAGTCCACGAGCCGCATGCTTCTCGCCTGTTGATTTTATGCATTTCGCATGAGTATAACAAACTTTATTTTTTAAAATACCCATTTATTGATGTTGGTATATGTTTGGTTACATGGTCAAATCTATTCAAAATAAGAACAAAGAAAGCAAAGAGGGAAACTATATATATATAGAATAAAGAACTCCTGTTCTCAGAAAACTCATTTCTTACAAAATAAGTATATCATAGTATGTACTACAACACGGTACCTAAATAACTACATCTCACACTTTGCCAATTCCAATGCCCAATAGTCGGTACAATGTGAACGTAGGGATCTAGGTGCCTGTGTGTACAGAGGATATCATTTCTGTTCTATAAACGTCTTACGAAATTTATCGATAATTTCTTATCATTATAAAATATTTTTCTCAGATTAACAAATCTCAATAATAGTATAAAATGTGTTAAATATTAAACTAATTTCTCAAACATTTCTACACTTTTTGAGCAAAGTATAATAGCATGCATATATATAAATCTTATTTATATTGTTTCTGTGAAACTTGAGTTGTCATTCCTTGCCATATAGGAGGACTGGTGTTACATAACAGATCAGTACTCTATTCTTTAATTCTAATAATTTTTTTCTTTTTTCCTAATACTTTGCTTAGCTTTTTGGAGATCTCTTTCGCTCCCCCAATACATCTTCGGATTTCAGTGTTGCAATTTCCTCTGTTAAAACACTTCCAAAAAATTTCAATTGTTGTACTTGTTTGATTATGAATCTAATTTGCATGTTAGGCTGTTCCTTTTGCTAACAATCACGCGTTCTGTTTTCTTACATTTTCATCCAGTTTTCCTTCAATGCCTTCTGTAATTATCTAAATTCGTAGTTACCTCTCCTGGACTAACAATGAATAGTACCACATCCCTACAGATGCCATGAAAGATATTCTTTGAGCGCTTCGCATTTTTAAAGTCCTTTTCTCTTTAATATTTGTGAATTGCCATAACATCTTTGGAAAGACAATGGAGTAGTCAGCCTTTGCTACGCTTTTGAAATCAGAGATTTCCTTCTCTTAGGTTGGATTCTATCCAAGACTAAATAGCCCAGTTTACTTTGCTATTTAAGCAATAGCTGATGGGAAGGGAAAAGAGATGAGTTTATGTCTTTCTGAAGATAATTTGTGAGAAAGGGAACCCAACACACTTGGTGGGAATGTTGAACTCGTCTTGACAATTCCAATTTCTGCACTGATGACCATTACACTAACCGAGTATAAAACAGTGAAACCTGAAAGATCTAAAGTTTTATCTCTCTATATCTTTGTCTTTTGATGGCGCAGATTGTACGCATGCGTAACAAGTAGTTTTCTAACGTGTATATCATTTATAAGGCTTGTAAGAATTAGGCGTCAAAGCGCCCCGATTGACATTACACCAATTATGATTGTCATTTTTTGTAATCAGCTATTCGCTCGCTCAGAAGAACTGGCTTTTCAGAACAAAGGGAAAAGATTTCAAAGTGTTGTAATATTTACAAAATAATACCCATTGGCCGTGACTTACGAAAGTTCTCTGACGGTATAGCGCAGTGTTTGTAGAACAGGACTAAAGGTTATCAAGTTGGATTTTTTAACCTTTGCAGTGCGTTTACATAATGGGAAAATGAACTGTATTTAAATAAAGGTGGCTGATGCCGTTTAAATCGTGCAAAATGGAATCGAAAATCAGAGTTCGAATTCCGGCTGATGTAGTGAGAATTCATTTCGCACCAATTCCCTTTCGTAAAGGCATGAATCTATTTCTCATCGCCCCAAGACCTGGGTTAAATAGCAAGGAAAACTCTCTCGTCTTGGTTGGTAGCTGGTCGAGGAGTACGACAGGTCTGAATTCAAAACTAAGGCGAAAGCAATGGAAAACCACTCCTCTGTCTTTCCCAAGAAAAATCATAGCAATGCACAAATAATAAAAAATGGAATCTGTGGAGAGTCATGATTACTCACATCCTGAAGAGAAACGTTAATTACTGAAGGCCCCCATCTATGTGGAGAAAAGTGGATTTTCCAGCAGGACAATGCTGCAATCCACAACGCTCTCCAGAAAGAAACACAATCGAGAATGTTTGGGGATTGATGGCAAAGGATGTTTATAAACATGGATCACAATTTGAAACTGAGGATGCTCTTCGTGTTGCAGTTTATGCATCCTGGGCGAGCATCCCAAGCACCCTCATGCTGAAGTCAATAATCAGTATGCCAAAGCGAATTTTCGAATTCGCAAAAATGGAGGATATACTAAGAATTAAATTGTCGTTGTGACTTATTTGTTCTGTATTTGTTATTTTTTTATTTGGTATTATCTTTATGACCAACCCCCAAAAATCCTTTTTTCAATGTTTGTTTAAATTAATCAATTAAAAGCTTAAAATGTTCACTTGTTTGTTGATAGATTACATTTTCTGATTAAATGTAAATGTTACGCAAATATATTTTGATTAAAGTAACAGTATCTTTTTTTAAAAACCCTTTTGTATCTGGTCTTAAGATTTTGACCGGGGATGTATTTTCTCCATATTTCAAATTTACTCAGGTCGACAATCTACTGCAATGAGTAAAAAGCACAGATCAGAAATAAAAATATATGCTGTTGATAAGACATGAACTCAACCTCCCTAAGCTAAGAGAATTTTAACAGTTTTCTGAATTATCAAATCTAACCTTTAAATTCAATTTTCATTCTACGCGCTCTCTCTCTCTCTCTCTCTCTCTCTCTCTCTCTCTCTCTCTCTCCCCACCCCCGGTCATATACCTTTATGTTCATACACTTGTAGTAATATAATTTGTAGTTACGTGATATATATCCTCCTATATATAGCTAGACGATCTCCTCAAAGATGTAGGAGAGACTTGAAGCAGCAAAAATGTGGACGATGAGAAAACTATATGAGCAACGATAAGGTTTTAGAGAAAATGGAAATAAAAATAAAACTTATACTTAACACCAGGAAGAGCCAGTTGAAATTTCTAGGGCACATAATGAGGAAAGAGGGCTTAGAAAATCGGATACTCACAGGACAGATTAAAGGCAAGAGGAACAGAGGAAAACAGTACATAACATACTTGATGGGCTTAAGTAAATGGATGGTGGAATAAGGCTTAGGGAAGGTAACGAAAGGACAAAATTTATTAAGTGCTACAAAGGACAGGAAATTGTGAAGAGCCATGATCGCCTACGCCCTGAGGAAGAACTATTATCTTTATATTCTTTCAATTAGATTGCCATATTACCGCTCCTATTCGACTTTATACCTATCACACCATATCATTATTTTAAAATGTTGGTAGAATTTTTGTATGAGACACTCAGTGAGGATCAGACCCACTCAGTCAGTCAGTTATGTGCCATGCGTGATACACGCTTAGGCGATCATGTATCTTTCGATACATGACTGACGAGGCAGATTTTTTTTCCCGCAGTAGGTCGCCATTTCTTTCTGCGGTAGACCAGTTGCCATCCAAGGCTCTAGAACCCGGTCTGTTCTGCTATCTACCCACAGCTGGGTTAGAAGAAGAAAAGTATTCATACCTTTCCCATGGGTATTAGCACGTAAGTAAATGTAGTGGATTCGACTGGAATCCGAACTCGGCTCTCCGATTCCACAATCCGAGCTGCTATCCATTACTCCACCGTGCCTCAGACCCACTACTTAGTCATAATGGCCAACCAGACGAGCCGAAGTGTCCCTTCTTAACGAATCTTATGTATATTGTATATAATTCTGTCAAACATTATTGGCGATTGCTTTTGTAGCCAACCAGTAAGTTTCGTGTTGATAAGATAGTCTCCCAAAAAGAGAAAATGCGAGTTCAATTCTCTTCACAGGCTTTTTTTTTTTATTTCCTATCAATCTTGTTTTCTGATATTTCTCTGCTAAAAATGAAGAGAAATTCTCTTCATACATTTAGTTCTTCTTTTAATAACATTTGTCGATATATTTTTTTAATCATTTCACCCCCAAGAAATAAAGCCACTAAGACGCAAGAGCTTACCGAGTGTGATATTATCAAGTTACGCGTATCCTCCAACTGATTTTCGATCGACCCCTTTTTCTTTCCATCGAGACAAAATTTTAGCCGTTTAACATGTCCATAAAATTTAAGCGATTTGCTCTTAATTCTCTCAAAGGGGGAAGCTTTGTTATATCGGGTAGTGTTGTTTTTTGTTTGTTTTTTTTTTCTCGATTTATTTTTTGGACAGTAATTGTTTATAATAAAGTTCACCCAATACAAGGCTCGAGTGCCATTCAAGGTAGAGAGTTACTGTTAAAATTGTTATGATGAATGAAGTGTGTGATATGAACGAAAAATGGTGTTTTAGGAAATGAGCATGATACGGATAAGGTGGCTAGATAGCGACTGACTCAAAACGTGAAGAGGTTAAGATCTTAGTGTTCAGGGAAGCATTCATGCGGGAGTCTGTTCCACAAAGTAGCAGTTCTTTGGAAAAGTTATCTGAGTAGAACTTTCTTCTTACATTTGGAATGTGGAGAAAATACACCTCCGGTCAAAATCTTAAAACCAGATACAAAAGGGTTAAAAAAAATATTAAATACTGTTACTTTAATCAAAATATATTTGCGTAACATTTACATTTAGTCAGAAAATGTAATTTATCAACAAACAAGTGAACATTTTAAGCTTTTAATTGAAAACAGACATTGAAAAAAGGATTTTTGGGGTTGTTCATAAAGATAAGACCATGTAAATAAAAATAAGAAATACAGAACAAAAAAGTCACAACGACAATTTAATTCTCAGTATTTCCTCCGTTTTTGCGAATTCGAAAATTCGCTTTGGCATCCTCATTATTAACTTTTGCATGAGGGTGCTTGGGATGCTGGCCCAGGATGCATAAACTGCAGCACGAAGATCATCCACAGTTTCAAATCTTGATCCATGTTTATAAACATCCTTTGCCATCAATCCCCAAACATTCTCGATTGGGTTTCTTTCTGGAGAGCGTTGTGGATTGCAGCATTGTCCTGCTGAAAAATCCAGTTTTTTCCACATAGATGGGGGCCTTCAGTAATTAGCGATGCCTTTCTTAACATGTCAATGTAGCTAGCAGCTGTTTAACGACCTTTTACCTCCTGTGACTCAAGAGTTCCATTATACGAAAATGAACCCCAGACCATAATTGATTCACCTCCACTGTGTTGTGTTGAGAAAATTTCTTTTGCATGCCAGTAACGCTGAAAACTGTCTGGGCCATCAAGATTGAATTTTTTCTCGTCTGAAAACAACACTTTCTTCCATTTATCCACATCCTAAGTTTGATAATCGGAAGCAAATTGTAAACGGGATTTTTATCGCAAAGAAGAAGGCGAAGCCTCTGCAGCCGTTTCAAGTTCTTAAACCCTTTCTTATTTAAATGCGGTCGAATTGTTCGAGTGCTGCATATAGCATCTGTATTCGCTTTCGTCTAATTTGATGTTAGGCTTGAATCTCTTTTAACTTCTAGCTTAATGAGTCTGTCTAGAGATGGTGAGATTTTATTGGGACGACCGCTTGATTTTTAGAAGCATACGTATCTGGATTTTTAATGAAATTCGCAATGACAGTTCTGCTACGGCCAATTTCATTTGCACTGGCACGTTGCGAAAGACCACGTCTTTGAAGTTCAACAATCCTGCCCTGTTCAAACTTTGTTAAAATTTTACCCTTAGCCATTTTAAAATCTGAAATTCAATACTGGAAATGAGCTATATAGATGTCTACACGCCTGAATCTATGAGTACACTAACTAGTCCCAAATTTTTTGTCCAGTAATTTGCTTTTTTCACATGTGGTCTTATCTTTATGACCAACCAAAAAAATCTTTTTTTCAATATTTGTTTAAATTAATTAATTAAAAGCTTAAAATATTTACTTGTTCGTTGATAAACTAAATTTTCTAATTAAATGTAAATGTTTCGCAAAAATATTTTGATTAAAATAACAGTATTACATATTTTTTTTAACCCTTTTAAGATTTTGACCAGGAGGTGTAAGTATGATTCAATACCATGTAAGGCGTGTCGTAGTTGTAATGGTCTAAGTGGAACTAAAGAACGTATCTCATCTGCTATGGATATAGAGTAGCGAAAGCCTCGCAACGTTGCATCTGTGGGAAAGAGGCTGTATAAATGCAAAATATGGTTCTGGAAGACTTGGAATTTCTTTAAGAATTCTTCTCTTTCCATGTGAGGCAGTTCAATTGCTAAAAAGTCCGTTAGTCGCTTCCTTACAAATAAAGTCACATTGGATCGAGTGATTTTTGAAAGAAATAAGTTGCAATGTAACACAGGCGGAAATAGCAGGATGATACATGTTCAGTTTTTTTTTTTTTTTTTTCTCTCTCTCTCTCTACAGTTCTTCCTCGATTATCCGGGCATCTTGGGACATGGGTTGAAAAAATACGTTCGGATAATTCAAAATTCTGAATAATTGAATATGTACATTATCGAAAAAGAATTGAGAAAAAATTCATTTTTTGAAAAAAATTAACATTTATATCATCAAATAAGATTTTCAATTGCTTTTTTACAGATTTTGTCCAGTTTTATTTTTTGTGATAAAAAAATGCGTCAATTTTTGTCTGTTTCCGACTGTTCTCTTATTTTTCTGTCGCTATCTCCCGAAACAAGATTAAAGCTGTGATAATTCAAATGTATTTCCTTTTGTATGAAAACAACGAGGAAATTTACGAGAATTGACCTAATTTTATCAACGCATTTATCAGACGTTGTGTATGGTTTTGTAAATTCACAAAACGCTTCTCTGAGATGAAAAATTAAAATGAGTTTTGTTCGAATAACTGAAAGATGTTCCAATGATTTCAATTGTTTTCACTTTAATTCCGGATAATCGAAGACCGGAAAATTGAGATGCGGAAAATCGAGAAAGTACTGTACTGAGTTTTTCTGCTTCTATCTGTTGAAATTTCAACGACATCCAGGTTTAAAGAAGCAACACTTTTCCATGAGTTTTTTTTTTTTTTGTATAGCAATTCGTTTATATACATAAACACGAAAAAGATGCTGGTGGGTAATTATCCGCTTAATCTAAACTTCGTTTTGACGATGTGTGAAATATTTTCATTGTGAGTTAGCAAATGAAGATTGCCCGATAAAGCTAAGCTTAGTTTTAACAACATGCTTAATTTTTGTCATTGTACAGTTGTAAATATGACTGTCTGACTAAACTATGTTTTATAAATATTTATAGATATATTGTTATTCTTCTTTGTAATGTTTCCTTTTTTTTCTAATCATTACATTTAAATGTTAGTTGTGTTTAAAATAATAAACGAAAAACTGAACCAATGTTATTAGAAAGTATTTTTTCTTCACAGCGTAGGAATTAATTTAACTTTTCTTTATTTTCTTCTTATTATTATTGTTGCTGTTTTTGTTGTTGTCTTTGCTGTTGCTGTTGTTCTTTTTATTGTTATTATTATTATGGCTGTTGTTATTATTATTATTTTGATTATTTCTTGGGTTTTTGTTGTATACTCATTTCTTTCCCGGTGTCAACCAAAGACCTAAGGTCAGAAATGGCTTCATGACATTTTCCACTGGACATTTAAAAAAAAAGTCACCTAAGATTATACACATTTTACATAGATAAAGCCCTTTGTAAGGTGTTAGCTGTAATCGTTAGTACATTTTTTTTTTGTATTTATTTAGATACATGCTACCAGGGATTCCTTCAATGAGTCTATCATAACTTTTCCAGCCAGACCTAGGGCCCTAATCACAAATAGAATTCCTGATGTCTTCATGTAACACATTGTTTTTTTTTTTTTTTTAGATTTCCACTTCAAGATTCTTGTATTTTGATAGTTGAAGATCTTTAAAGATACATTACAATCTAGAGGGACAGCCACATCAATAATAAAGCAAATTCTGTTTTTGTAATCTCTGATCACGATGTCTGGGCGATTAGCTTTCATTGCTCTGCCTGTGTGTATTGTAATGTTCCATAAAATTGTTACAGGCCTTATGTCTGTAATCGGGTCGTGAAGGGGAGGGGCTTCATACCAATTTTTGTAGTTTTCTTCCCATAATAGTTACAGATTTTCCATTACAGATACGCTAATACTGGGCATCCTGATACAAGATGATCAGTCGTTTCTGGACATCCATAACATGATCTGCATTTTGGAATCAATACAATTTTTCAGTATGCTATCTTGATAATTTATATTTAGCAAGTATTGCTCCTGTGCAACAATGATACGGTCTTTGGTTTCATCATTAAACACTGCACAGCGCAACCACTGATATGTATGAAGTTTGTCTAGACCAGCAAGGACAGAGTATTGACCATGAAGAGGTTTATCTTGCCATTGTTTATGCATATGGTTCATTGCATTTACGTTTGCTTTCTTTTTCAGGTTTATTGAAGTTGCAGCAAATGTATTATGGTTTACTTGCTCTTCTTCATCCATTTCAAATTCCACTTTGAAATTGCTGGCTTCCGTAACTGCTAAATAAAGTTTCTTATTCCTTGTTACGGTTTTTTGTGTATATACTACATATAACTAGTGAGCGAGTCAAAATGACTTATTTCCCTTTATAGTCTACCAATAGAAGATTAACCAATCAGAAGACGCAGAGCATTGTAGCCGTCGTGTATAAAGGCGGCCATCTTTGTTTTCCTACCGGAATGACCAGAGGCAACTTGTCCGGCGAACAGGACAGACGGAAGAACTACGCTCTGCTACCTTGCTGCGATATCCACTGCGAACCTGCACTACGCTTTCCTACTGTCTCCGAAATATTCACTGCCAACCTCTGGATTCTATACTCGAAGACGACCGTCAAAATGTCTAACATTCCTTTCATCCAGTCTTCTGTAGTTTACAGGTATCTTTGAAGACCGATTGTTGTCGTTTTGAATTAATCCTCTGCTTTTTCATTTTGACACCCATTCGCTTAATGTCAGCTATCGTCCAGGTAAGTTGAAACTGTATTTCATCACAGGGACAGCCAAAGTGTTTATAGCTGATATTCTGTTTTATGAATACAACTCGGTATTTAACATCGGACGTAGTATTCTTTTCTTACTTTCTCCTTCATTTAGGTATTCTGTATTCCATCTCCTTCGCTGATCCTTAGGTATTTATACACTTCTTTTGCACCAATCACCTGATCTTTGTGACAAAATCGCGATCTATTGAGCATGTTTCGGTAGTATTACATTTGCACATTTATCTAATCCGAAATCTATACTGATGTCATCACTGAAACATATTACAGTATTAAGGAGACTTTTCAGATCATTGTCATCTTTGGCAACCATGTAGAACAAACGATTAAATACTTTATTAATTTTATATCCATCGTTATTAATGTTTACTCCATGCGAAATAGAGATCATCATTATTATTATTATTATTATTATTATTGTTATTAAAATTCTTTTTAACCTGAATTTGTTTTGTAATCACATGCCGGGTCATAACCAATGACCTTAGGCAAGCAAAGCAAAGGATGAGATTTTTTCTCATCTCCACTTAATTAAACAAACTATTGCTATTAACAAAAACAGTAATTGGACATAGCTCTTCGCGGGATATGAACGGTGCTTGTTGGGATTATTTTGGGCGTTTCCTGGAGAGATTTGTTCACCAGGTATTTTGTTGATTTTTTCTTACGTTCCTTTCTATTTAAGACCTACATATCCAATAGGAACAGTTTTAGATTTTAAGTGATACATTTTTTCTATTTCCAAATCAAATTTTTGGGGTTTCCTTAGTTTTTTCAAAAACCTTCACAGAGATATTTTTGTCACTTGGTACGCTCATATTATTATTATTATTATTATTATTATTATTATTATTATTTCCTATGATTTCTGGTGTGTACTCATTTCTTTCCGGGTTACGACCAGAGATCTAAGGTTAGAAATGACATCATGACATTTTCCACTGAGCAATTTAAAACACACACACACACACATATTTTACATAGATAAATCCCTTCGTAAGGTGTGGGCTGTACTCGTGAAAACAATTTTTTTGTATTTCTTTAAGGCATGGGCTACTAGGAATCCCTTCAATGAGTCTACTGGAATCTTTTCCAATCAATCCGAGGGCTCCAACTACAACAAGAACTGTTGATGTTCTCATGTGCCACATTTTTGACATTTCGATTTCAATGTCGTTGTCTTCTGATAGCTTTTGGAAGATCTTCAAAGATACATTACTGTCTGCAGAGACTCCCATATCAATAACGAGGCACTTTTTTGCAGTCACTAATAATAATGTCTAGGCGATTAGCTTTGATTGTATTATTATTATTATTATTATTATTATTATTATTATTATTATTATCTGAATATATGCATTATGGTACTGTTGTATCTTAAGTCCCAGAGAAGATACTTCTTATCAAGTCACATGTTTGCTGTGCCTAATAAGGCAGGTTTTTGTAGCGTTCCTAAAGTGAGTTTTACACGTACGTCGACATAATCTTTAATGGGATGAAGCCGAGTACCCTAATCACTACCAGGATGACTAAATCGTTTTCTCCGTTACTTCTAACATCTCGCCATCTCAATCATCGAGTCATAGTTACTGATCTTTTCTATTTGCTTTATTATATTGCAGTTATCAATTGTTTGGCATTCATTTTGTTATTGTGTGAAGAGGTACGGTAGAATAACGGATAGCGGCTCGGACTGAGGAATCGGAGAGCCGAGTTCGAATTCCGGTCGAATCCATTATATTCACTTACGTGCTAATACCCTTGGGAAAGGTATGAACCCTCTTCTTCTCTTCCCAGCTATAGAACCCGGACAGACCGAAATATATGAATCCTCTTCTTCTCTCCCCGGACAGACCGGGTTCTATGGCCTTGGGTGGCAACTAGTCTACTAAAGAAAGAAATGGCAACATACTGCGGGAAAAAATATGCCTCGTCAGTCATGTATCGAAAGATACATGACTGACGAGGCATAAGCGTTTATCACGCATGGCACATAACTGACTGAATGACTTTCCAGTTGAATCTATTGCATTCACTTGCGTGCTAATAATACCCTTGGGAAATATATGAATCCTCTTCTTCTCTCCCCAGCTATGGGTAAATAACAGGACAGACCGCGTTCTGTAGCCTTGGGTGGTCTACTACAGAAAGAAATGGCAACCTACTGCGGGAAAAATCTGCCTCATTAGCCATGTATCGAAAGATACATGATTGCCTAAGCGTGTATCACGCATGGTACGTAACTAACTGTTGAAGACGAATTTATTAGGTTGGTGCAAAAATAATTTCGTTTTCTAACATATGTTACTATGTGAGAAAACGAAATTATTTTTGCACCAACCTAATAAATCTGTTCTTCGGTTTTCAATAACTCGATCTAGTCCCAGACTATCTTCCATTAATCTCAATGGTACGTGATTGTACTATTACTCGGACACGTTGTAAACATTTTTTTTTCAAAATAGCCAGTACAAATTAAGGTAAACACAGCCATGTCTTTTGTACTCACTCTTTGCCAGCATTTTACAGCCACTGATTACAATTGTGACATATTTTTGTTTCTCACCACAAAGCCTATATATTGAGCCATCTCTAATGCAGTACACGTTGCTGGTTATGGCTTTCGTATGTAAGGCATGTTTCTGAAAAGCCATGATTACACTTTCATTATTTTATTTTAATAACATTCGATTATTATTATTATTATTATTATTATTATTATTATTATTCATATGCTTATTTTTTAGACAAATGAAGAAAGAAAGAAAGAAAGAAAAAGAGAGAGAGAAGACGAAAGAGGAGAAAAAACCCTCCCTTTTCTCCTGCCTTTCTTGTTTGTTGTTCTGTGTGTTTCCCAGCGCCTGAGGCAGATAGCCCTGGGCCCAATTTCTAGTTTTTACTTGTTTGAATCTTCTAGCATCTTCTTTCACAGCCTTTCCCACATAAATAAAGGCTGCGCATAATAACGACCCCGGTGGCCTGGTTCTCACTCCTGTGTGATGAGAGCGTAGAAAGGAAGATTGACACTGGGATGGAGTAGGAGTAGGAAAAGAATTGGCGAGTGGGGGAAATAGGGGAGTGTCTCCCCGCCATGATGTATCCACTTCTCCGGATTTTTTTTTTTTTTAATATTTAAATCACCTTCATTTTTTTTTTTATTCACTTTCTTCTTCACCTTTTGTCTTTTTTGACGACTCCATCATTCTTCTTTCTTTTCGTTCCCACATCTTATTTTTGTCTTTTGGTTTATTTTCTTTTTTTTTTTTTCTCGTCTTAAAGGTTTTTTTTTCTTGCTCGACGCCATCATCCACATTCCTCTTCCTCTTTCCCTTGTTATTTCCTTCTCCTCATTGTTTGATATTTTTCTTTTTCTTCTCTTTCTTTCTTGGCTTACGGCCATATCACGTTGAAACACCGGTTCTCGTGCGGTTACTGAAGTTAAGCAACGTCGAACCTGATCAGTACCTAGATGAATAACTGCTTGGGAATACCAGGTACTGTAAGTTTGGATGTGCCGAATAACGGCTCGAAATTGAAAATCGGAGAGCCGAGTTCCAATTCCAATCGGGTTCATTATATTCACTTACGTGAAAGTACCCTTGAGAAAGGTATGAATCCACCTCTTCAAAATCCAGCTACGGGTTAATTAACTGGACCTAATCATTATTATCTCAAAAAATTCTTACAATCTAAAAATATTTTCTAGCTTTAAATAACCAGCAAAATGTTGATAAGCCGTAAAAAAAACAAATCAACCCATTAAATATGTCTTTCTTTTTTCTTCATTTTATGTTATTTCCTTCTCTTTATCTCTCTTTATTTTCAGACACTCAACTCTGTTATTCATTCTTTCCTTATAGCTACATTTTGCACCCCCTCTCATTTTTCTTCTTGTATTAGTTCAATGTTAATGATTCTTTACTGCTTTTAAAAAATCAGCTATTTATTAAATTTAGCGCAAGGCCAAAAATACAGGAGAGTTCGACAAGGACAGAACTGACTAGTCTGTGAAATTAAAAACATTACATTCTATAGCAAAGTGACCAACAATACATTTTATCTGTAGTTAAAGGCATATAACTGCGTTCAAAATATATTGAGTCGAAGCCATATAAATTGTGTTCAAAATCTTTTGATTTCGGCATTAAACAACCCATAGAGTTGATATGCTGCTAAGCAAAATCAACCAACCAACCAAAATTGGTCAATATCGTGTTACGATAGGTAACTTATTTTTTTTAACTAAATTTGGTCTCATTAAGCTAAGAGCCAAATAAGCATGTGCACTCGATGCGAACAAAAAACGCGCCCGGATTAGAGGAAAAGTTTTCATAGACCATATGACAGTGAAAGCGGATTCGATCCTTATGGACATTCCCCAACTGGATATCTGTGTCATACAAAACTAAATGCCTCCTTCTGGTAATGACACTATTAGCCGTTTCCTTAAATGGAAACATTCGGTATTCATTGATCGGACAGCCAGTACTGCTTTTGGTTGAAATTATCAAATCTTCCACTTGAAACAATTTTCAGGAAAATAGCTTTCTCAAGCCTAGTAACTGTTATTGATCTTTTAATGGTGGTTGTAGGGGGAGGGGGGGCTTCCTCTTTAACCTTTTGTTCGCAGTAGACCGTCAACATCTTGATTATGTCATTGTTTTCTCTTCGCGTTACACGTGCTATCCTTTTTAGCTGTTGCCGTTGTTGAAAGTCTTCAACTGATAGTGTTTCTGTTATCTGGTACAGTTCTTTGTGATTTTGTAACTCTAGTCCACGAGGTCTGAAGAAGGAGGATTTTCACTATGGAAAAGTGCATAACAGTACTGAACCGTGCGTCTCGTAAACCAATTCTATTGTAGTGTGTTTAATCACCACTAGAAGCCCTAAACTTGTGGCCTTGCGCCATACAAAGTTAAGCTAAGCATATGCCAGTTCACCAACGTAACTGCCTTCTACATAATTTCCGTTTATTGAGTTTCTATTTTAACGTCCCTTTACTTAGAGGAAAAGATAGAAGAAAAAATGATAAAAAAAACAGAGATAAAAAGAAAACTACAATAAGGCTTATGCATTCTTAGCCATTTATCACTTTCTTCAATAAAAATTTTCCGATTTCATTCATGTTTTAATGTTTCAAATAATATTTAAAAAAAAACATTCTAAAATTTTTCTTTAATTTTATAAAATTTTAAGAAGCTAAAATTTTTTTAAAAATTCAAAAGTCAAAAGAACTAATGAATTCTGGCCCGAGTGTTGCCACACCAAAAAGATTTTGAATTCACAATTAATGCTTTGACCGTGGAGCATGGTTTATCGAGTAATATCCAGTAAAAATCATTATCAATGTCTTTTGTCACGTTCTATCCATAAACTGAATTGTTTTTTTCCGTACTATTGTTCAACTGATACAGAGCCCAAGAACCATTCAAGATAGAGGCTGGCTAAATGAGGTTTTCATATGGGCGTACAGAGAGGAAGCAAGAGGAGCATGTTATGAGGATATGCAAGATAGATAACGGTTGACCCTAGACTTGAAGAAGCTAAGATTGTGGCGATCGAGAAAGCATGTCCTCGGGAGTTCGTTCCACATTGCAGAGACAAGCAACGCTTAAAGAGAAAAAAAAATGAAAAATTACTCTGATGATAAAGAAGACTTTTCAAAGACAAAAATCTTTGGTTCAATTTATAAGGAGACAAATAATTTTTATATCATCAATTTTCTTGCTGATGCTACAAAGATTATTACGAGCAACTTAGTTTCAGGCGTTTTTACTGACAAATCTTCGTTTAATATTCAATAGTGTTTGTTCGAAGGCTTCTACTAATGTTATTTATGCTCTAAATACTGCAAGGTGTACAAATATCAAAAATGTATACAGATTATATACTATTAATATATCGCTATTGAGGGAGTTTTGCGCCTGGTAATCTGAGAAAAGTCCAGGAATCCCAGGTGTGTTCGCAAAGTGATTTCGCATCCATTACCATTATTACTCAGCAATCTAAAATTCGTTACAAAAATGTGAAGTCTCAATAGAATAGCGAATGGTGTCTTCAAACAAAAAGACGTTACACAAAGTATTAAGAAACGGGAAAATTTCATTAGCAATAAAGAAAAGAGGGCTACGACCATATCACGTTGAAACATTGGTTCCCATACGATCACTGAAGTTAAGTAATTAACGTGGAAACTGGTCAGTACCTACATGGGTAACCGCTTGGGAATACCACGTGTCGTAAGCTTGGATGTGCGGGTGGTGTAATGAATAACAGCTCGGAATTGTTAATCAGAGAGCCGAGTTCAAATTCCAGTTGGGTTTGTTATATTTACGCGCAAATATCCTTCGGAAAGCTATGAATCAACCACTTATCTCCACAGTTATGGGTTATTTAGTAAGACTTGTAACACTAAATCATTATTATCTCCAAAAAGATTTTATAATACAAAAATCTTTTTTCTGGCTTTAAATAACCGGTAATGGGTTGATAAGTCGTAAAACATGAATGAATCAAAAAAGAAAAGAGTGTTGAACTTCTCTTTTGCCTTCTTCCCGACATATTTCTTTATTACTTTATTTTTGAAGTCTCCCACCCCACTCCAATTTTGGGATTTACTTTTTATTTTATTTAATTTTACAGTCTCTTTATTCTTGCTTTTCCTTTTTTTTTTCTCTCATACTACTTGCTTTTTTTTTTAAATTCTCCCCTCTCTTTTTAACTTCTTTTCTTCATCCCATCCTAATCTCTCTCTTCTTCTTCTTCTTCTTCTTCTTCCTTCTTACCATCAGAACATTTTTGAATAAGTGAATGTATGTGTATGTGCGCGCGCACCCGCGTGTTCCTTTTTCTTGACGGGAAACCGATATGCCACGATAAAGGTGGTGAGTGAAAAGGTTGCAAGTATGAGAAAATTCGTATGTGTGGGTATGCATTTACAGTGACACTAGAGATGGGGAGGGTTAAGTCTTGGAGTGAGGTAGACTCTTTCCCCTTCTGATATAAAGGTGATTATAAAAATTAAGGGAGGAGAGGAAGTGACCGAGGAGAAAGAAGCAACGAAGTGAAGAAGGCGAGTGGAAGCAAAGAGGGATAAAAGAGAAAAGTGAAAAGTGCAAGTAATGAGAAGAAAAAAAAAAGAAGGAAAAATAATAACGAAGGGAAGAAGACAAGGAAAAGAAACGAAGAAAGCACCATTCATGTTTGTATCTCATAAGTTGTGCATTTGCCCCAAATCTTTATTTTCTTCATCTGTTAGTTAATTTTTCTGCCTCTTCTTTTTGTAAAAATACCATAAATTGCCTTGTACCTACGTTCAACCTTTCGGCGGTTTCAGTTAAAGTAAAAATCAAGCGTTCATATGCTTAAAGCGAAACTCATTTTCTCTCGCTAATATAGATTTTGTTGAAATAAAATTCATTTTTTCTGATGAAGTCGATCCATCGGCGAAACATATTAAAATAGAAGTTCTTCAAATTCTCTCTCTCTCTCTCTCTCTCTCTATATATATATATATATATATATATATATAATGAGAACGAAAAGAATATAAATTCAAACGTTCATAACATTAATTTAAAAGAGGGTTCAATACAAAACGTAGAACAATAGTTATTCATTATAAGTTATTAGATACGAACAAACAAATAATCACTACAAAGATGCATATTTGTTTCAATGCCTAAACATATAATCAGCTCATCAGGTGGTGAACAAAGATGGTTATAACCATTTTGTTCACCACCTGATGAGATGAGATTATTATACTAGGCATCGAAACTAATATGTATCTTTGTAATGCTTACTTGTTTGGTTGTATGTAATAACTTATAATAAATATGTCCAAGAAAAACATTTGAATCACTACCACGCAAAAAATTCATTTTTATATGTGGGAATATCTACTCTTTGCTTGAAGAAGGTCGCGAAACCAGATACGTGTGTAGCAGAATTATGTCAAATAGAGTATAATATATATTTTAAAATATAAAATCCACGTTTCATCTAAAAATGTTTGCGGTTTATCTTCTTTTTAAAATATACACTTTTCTCTCGTTGGTACAACTATAACCTTTCCTTATATATATATATATATATATATATATATATATATTAAATTTGATAGCCTAACGCACTTATGGAAATGTTTGGCAGAACAGGGTTTAGGAGTGATAGTAAAAAGACAAAATTTACTAAGAGCTACAAAGGACCGGAAATTGTGGAGAGCCATGATCTCCAACGTCCTGAAAGAACACGGCACAGAGAAGACGAAGGCTGTGCTTTAAAAAGTTGTTTAAAGTGATGAAAACATCTTTACTTTCTTCACCTGAAGGCTTTCCTTTCTCCTTTGCTTCCTCTTTACATCACTTTTCTTCTTTCTTTATTGTTTTTTTTTTTTCTTTTAATTCATTTTTTGGGGTCTGATGTGGGGAGCATTTACTCTTGTTAAGAAAGGCCCAAGTTTTCTGCTTTTGTGGCGACAACAATAGCCAAACCATTAAAAATCCATCAATCTTTCTCTGAATAGTCTTTCAAAATATGATCAAGTGCGCACTCCACCGTGTCCGTCCAGTCGCTGACTTACGACACTTTGCTATTTGTAAAAGTCCTGCCATGTATAGTCCTCCTAGACAGGGCACTATTGTCAAGTTCCTTCGTTTTGCCACCGGTTACTTTCGTGTCGTTATTAACCCCTAATTACTTTTTTTTTCTTTAACTTAACATCTCCAGAACGAACAAGCAAATAATGTACGAGCTGTTGCCCCAAAATTCAGATAAAAAGAACGCTGTGCATGATCTGATGTAGTACGGTCTTTTAGCGCTACCTTTTGTGAGTAGTTTCTATTTGTGTGTATGTTTAATAATTCGAAGGCGACGGTAGAAACTAGGCTTTAGAGAAAGCAATTTTTGTGGACAAATCCTACGAACTTCGCGTATACCCTCGTATTCTTTTGTTTTTTTCCTGTTTCATCAACCCACCATGTTGAGTACAACGAGGGATATACTGCTAGAGGGTTAGAATACAGCTTAGACAGAGATTAACACATACTACATTTTGATCCCAGTCGAAAGCAAAAAGAGAAGAAAGCATTAGTCTCCGAAGGATACATCAATGTTGAAAGAACATATACAATAACAGATGACGGTAAGTTTACAAGAGAAGTTGAAGGTAATCGTTATCTCGATTGGCTACCAGGATTCGGTGGAAATGAAAACAGAGATTTAGTTGTTACTCATTGTTCGGTGGCCATTTCCAATTTTTTTTTTTTTTGAACGAAATAAAATTAATCGCTGTTTTGAGTATGGTTCAAATTTCACATTCTTCTCTGTTCAAATAGGTTTAGTACTCAGTAATATATGGCAAACCCCCAAACAGAAAATATATGATAACAAAAAAACGACAATAAAAAAAAGTCAACGATAGTGAAATGGAGATAAACTTCCACACCCTAAATGAACTCGCAAGAAAGACATTCATCGCTTGTTGCATCAAACAAGTCTGACATGGAACAGTGACACTGATTGGCTAGCATCGACCAATCATTACCCTTCTAGAGTATCTCCCGATAATTCGGGATTAGCGCCAACTTCAAGAACTATCTCTTTTTTCCCTGGACATTGCCAAGTAAAGACAAGAAATGAATCTACTTATACTGGATTATCTTATATTCAGCAAGTTGAATCACAAATAGAACCACGCGGTGAAGAAAAATATTATTTTCCAGATCATTTTTTTTTTTTTTGAGGATATTAAGTTTAGGTTAAAAATTGTGGTTTTGCAATTTCATTCCGGTGATCAGTGAAAGTTTTATACTACTACTGTACTGTACTGATGCGGCATTCACCCTGGGCGGATTGAGCCGGCTTCTTCCTATTATGAGAAGAAGATTCTTGGGATAAATTACAGAAGTAAGGTACCCAGGCCTACTCGGATAACGTTCTTGCTTGCCGCGGGGTTCCCACAGACGCAGAGACAGGAACGACCAGAAGCCGCCGGTTACCGATGCAGACGCTCCTTGGATTTTCACCAGAGCCCTTGTTAGCCGAGTGTGTGTGTGTCAGACCTGTTAATTTTTGGGTGGCCCTACCAGGAACGGCATTCCCTACCAGGAATCTGGGCGGCATAGCTCTGACACTACCGTTTACACCCCCCCACCGACTGTGAGGTAAGGGTTGGACTTTGGAATAGCGAAGACTTATAAAATTTATAATTTACAAATTGTATATGGACAGTATTGTGCCATCCAATAAGACTCTCATTTACTTCAAAGGGAAATTATACTGAACAATTTATCTATATTGTAATGTAATATATTATACAGTGCAGTAGTTTTAGTGCGATTTTCAATAAACAATGCAAACTTAAAAACTTTTGTCTTATAACTTGTGCATAGCAATACTATGCTGTTATATACACGCTTAACTAGTTTTTGTTTTTATTATGATCTAACAAATCTTATTCATTGAATGGCTTTTTTGTTATTGTTATATTCCGTGCTAATAGGAATATATACTTGGACAACACAGTGGATAAAATAAGAAAAGATTTATTGTAAAAACCAATACGATAAGAATAAAGGTAACAGTTATGAACAAGGGCGTCGCAAGTCAATCCAGTAGTGAGCACTACTATTGGAAGGTCGGTAGTTCTCACGTAAGTCTGAGTTGTACATAACAGATTCCAGCTAGACAATATTTACCAGCCTCCCCACGAGGTAGGATGTGGCACAAGGCCGAATTTAATGTGGGGCAATCCGAGCCCGTAGGCTTGGCCAAAACATCACCGTAGACCCCGCATAAACGGGATCGGGTCTCTCTACCTCCCCGAACGAGACTATGCCCTTTGGCATAGCCTCGTCCGGGTTCCTCTCCGGGTTCGACTGTTTAGCCGAAAAGATTTCGGCTAGCCTTTGTATTCCACTGACTTACAGATACTTATAGGTAGTTACTACCTGTAGTGTAGTCACTCGTGGGCTGACAGATTATTCTATTACATCAGTTTTTTACAGTTTTTACTTATCGAATATAATAAAAAATGCATATTTTGCTTGTGGTAATTCATAATTACAATTCTGCTTTGAATATATTTTCCATTTAATGTATGTAATACAAAAAAAATATCAACTATATTTGGATTTATTTTTGAAATAGTAAAATTTTTAAGTTAATTTGTAAGCAAAAACACGCGAAAAGTAGTTATTTTTGTACATTTTTTCTAAATGCTCAAAAATTGGTAAAAGCTAT